GGGTATAGTCTTTGACCTAACCGATATTAATTATTAAATATTCAAATGAACTCAAAATAAACTAAAAATTAAAGAAGTACATAATAACCAATCAAAAATGAGTCTACGCGATTCTCCATTCCCAATTATATTTCATTCGTGCGAATTCGCCCTGGTCGCCACAAGACAAACTAGAAATCCATTGCTCTTTATGACCTTCGTTTACTTCGTTGACTTTTATTTATATGACAGTCATTGTAAGTCATTGTAAGTCACCACCTGATTCTATAACCAGAATCTGCAACTTATCAAACTGTTTCTTTACAAAAGTTGGCTTTTTTTTAAAATAATATTATCAGTTTTAAGTCCGAATTGTTCAAACTGTTAGGGACCACATAACAATATGTCATCATTTCGTATTATTTATTTTTTTATTTATTTATATTATATATTATATTTATTTTTTTATTATTTATTTCGGTATTATTTATTGTTACGTAATCCGGTTCTACTTAATTTTATTTTCCCTATGTAACTTGGTGTATAGTGTTGTACCTTTTATTGTCTGCTGTATAGCTTTTGCTGTTTGGTATGTGCATATTTTATATCACTTTACTAAAAAGGGCTTTGCACGTAAGTATCAATAAATAAATAAATAAGTAAATAATTTCATCTATCACGAAATTCCTGAAACTCGGCTGCCATGATCTCGATTATTTTCAAATTTCCCGAAACTCCGACTCGCGGTAAAAATTTCCATACGATCTCGCGCGAAAAATACAGCGGGTTAATTCCCAGCATATAAATCATTATCGCGAGTCGAAAATCGTAATTTATGTACTCTCGATCATCAGTCGCAGACGTCCACTCGCATCGGCCGTTGCTCGATCATTATAATTCACCGGCACGATCGGTAGCGCCGTTAATCGCCGCGTACTTACATCTCGACAAACATACACCGACCGATTGACAGCTTATTGACGGTTATTATCGCGTGAACTTAACGAGGGCAGCCAAGGCGTACTTCCACGTAGCGAGGCCAGGGGATCGTTTCACACGTGCAGCTTTCTTCGACACGCGACATCCGCCGTCCACATCCAGCTGGAAGTTCGGCTGAATTCCAGGTCGTCGCACCGGGCTCATTATCCTGTCCCGCAAGTATCGTGATTTGTCTCGCAATTTTGAATAATTTCCACGACGATACCGCGCGAAACCGGCAAGCAAGGTGTGCCAGTGATGGTTACTTTCAAAATCGGTTTCTCCTTTTCTTCTGCGCGAAATCTCGAATTCTTCCGAACGACATTCGCATTCCTGTGATATTCGTGCAGTTATTCAAATGGGAAGTGGAGGATACGAATTCGGTGATAAACAGGTTTTCGTGGATCCTTTCAGTGCATTGTTAAGGTTTATTAACCATTGTAACATCGAGGCTGGAATCTGTCAGTAAATATTCGGTGTATATTGCATTGGTTCCAAAACCATTTAAAAGTTTTATCGAGTAACTTATTAACTATTTTTATTTATATATATTTATATCCAAAGAAATTAAAATATTTGTAACCAAAAAAATTAAAATATTTATTTAATACTATTTATGTCATTTACACAATATCTTATTTACATAATTTATATAAAATTAGAATTTTTGAAAGGATTGCAAAGTTGCTTGAGAAGAAAGGCAGCGAATGAGCTGTAAAAACCAAGGATAAAAAAGGGAGAATGAAATTTTAACATATCTCTGTATCCAAAGAAATAAAAAAATTTTTCTGTATCGGAAGAAATTAAAATATTTCTATGTCCAAAGAAATTAAGATATTTATTTAACATTATTTATATAACTTACACAATATCTCATTTACATACCGTACATAAAATTAACTAAAAAGGTATAATAAATTATTAAAAATATTCGAATTTTTGAAAGGACTGCAAAATTGCTTGAGAAGAAAGGCAGTGAAGGAGCTGCAAAAACCAAGGACGAAAAAGGGAGAATGAAGTTTTAACAAGTGTTAAAATACTTGCGCACGTCTATAATCACGTTTCCTTGTGGTTTGCAACATTGTATCATACAGGCCTAATAATTCTGCAGTGCTCATTACAGCTTCCAGTGATCCGTAAGGCCCAGATCACAAAGTATCACTTCGATACACCGCAGGCATATAATTTGACATTTTCCGGAATTTACGACACGACCAGTGCGCAACTGCAAATTATCAACCGTTTTTGCACCTCGCAAAAATAACGGTCTTTCGGCAGAGTGTGCATAACGTACATCATCCAGATTCTTCTGTAATTTCTGTCGTCATTAACATCCAGTCATTAGCGAATTTCTTCGTTAAAATGTGCACGTCGTTTCCGTAGCCCATGTATTTTTGCGTGCAAGAAAAAGACGCGCACTCACACAGGCAAAGCCGTGTGTCAAACGACTCGATGTCAGGGTTTAACGCGCGTGTGTGTGTATATGTACGCGTACCTAAGAGAGTACATTATGCTTGCCGACCTGTTGCTACCCCTCCTCCGTTTCCAGCGCTTCTCAACCCTCCCATGGCCATCCCTTCGGTGACTCACCTTCTGCTAGGAAATGGTACGCTCTCGCTTCGTTCAGCTCATTGAAAACGTTCTATATTCTATCCCGACCTCTGTCTGTCACCTCGCTTTCTTTACTTTTTTCCTTTTTCTTACGCCAAGATACATTGCTACATACGCCACCGACCCGGTGCCATCTCTAACGTGTTCATGCGGCTTTTTGGCCTCTGCCTGTTCTATTCTTCCTGTTCCGTTTCCACGCGGATGAGGTATGACGAAAGAGAAAAGGGTTTGAATTTTTAATCACGCTAATCCCGAGTTTGGATATCATTTTTGCAATATTCTTTGTCTATAGTCTCGAAACTCGTAAAATTAGGGAAATATAGAGACTTCGTTTCATTTAAATTTAGGAAAAGCAATAATTATTTTTAGCAATTTGATAATGAATTTTCGAACGTTCAAAAATTTTAGTATTGATCACATACTGGTACCTAATATATTGGATATTGCTATATGGTGATTTCAGAATTTTGTTGAAGTGTTATGTCTGAGTAATTATTTGTATTAAAGGGAGTTGAGTTAATTAAGTATTCAGCTGTGAGCTTTAACTCTTTGCGTTCGACGATTTTTTTGGCTAAAGAAGGGTACGAGTTAAAAAAATTTGAAATAAGAAATAAATAAGAAATCGTATAATAATTAACACGTAGAATTATTTAATTTCGGCACCCCGCACACTATTACATTATTTTGAATTTGATATATTAATTAATATCGAGCATCGAAATTTTATCAAATGGCGACTCGAGTGCAAAGGGTTAATACTATTGCGAATTGATAATCTACAAATTCCTCGCATTTGATTTAAACGAATTATTCTACATTTTTCTGCACCTTTTTAATTATAATATTTTATCTCTCCGTGTCTACTGTATTTTCAGTCCTCGTCTACTTGCTTTCCAGTTTTTGGAGCATTACCTGCGTCAAAAGAGCCTCTATTAAAGCAATTATTTCCGCTTTAAAGTATCAGCTTTTTCCCCGAATTTCATTTTAATCTGTTATTTCAGCCCATCCTCTTTTCTCTTCCACGGACAAGAGACGTTTTCATATTTCGTTTTGCTCGTTCATCCCGCGTTTCTTTCTCTGTGCCATTCGTTCTTCCCTCGTGCCTGTTTTGCTCCACCGAGCCCGACTGCCAAATTTCCCCTCGCCCTTTTCCGTGTGCCCCTATCGTTCCCCTAATACCACGATCTATAGGCACAAGTGTGCAGGGAGATTAACGATGAAAAGTTGATTCCGATCGCCAGATACAGGCATCTGTTCCTCCTCATACCCTTTGGTTCATCGACTAGGAAAACGATGAACGAAGCAAAACATCGCGTCCTTCGTTATTAATACGGCAAAATGGCCGATGAAAAACGGAGAAAAATGATCAGTATTTTTTAACGCCTGGAGTTCTACCTCGTGAAAATGTATGATACTTAGATACATATATACCAGCGTGATATAGAGGGGTTGAAAAGGGGTTAGAGGATTGGACGCTCTTATTATCTAAATTGTAATAAAATCTTCGACATTCGGAAATATTCTATGATCTTGTTCAGTTTACTTTCCTCTTTTCATTCATAAATCATTTCATCAATCCTGATGGATTTAGTGTTAATTAAAATTAATTTTAGCTAATCAGGACTAACATTCGCCGATTTTTCTTTTAATACACATATAATTTTTCGATTTTTTCTCTTATTCCATTTTTCTTAAGATTCTTCTTCTTTCCCGTTTTCATCCATAAATCATTTCACCGGTCCTGGTGGATTTAGTGTTAATCAAAATTAATTTTAACTAGTCAGAATTAACATCCATGGATTTCAGGTTCTCACTGTAACACTTTACTATTAACACCTCAACGATGAATTAACCCTTTGCACTCGAGAGCTGCCTCTCAGTCGCCATTTAATTAGGTTCTAAAGATCGATGTTAATTAATATATCAAATTTAAAATTACCTAACGATGCGTGCAATGTTGAAGTAAAATAATTCTGTATCTTAATTTGCATGCGATTTCTTATTTACCATTTTAAAAATATCCTCGACTTTATGACAGAAAGTGTTTGAATTATTATTTTTCTGTAACGAAACAATCGCCGAGTGCAAATTATATGAGTAATATATAGTAAAATAATTATTATTTTGGAAATTTTATTTGACAGATTGAATAAATATAATGAATAAAGTTTTGAATAAAAAGGATAGTAGTCTAGATGATAAATGAAATATTTTTTAATAATATTACTCAGGACACTGTGTTATGTGTATCTTTCTGAACTCTAATAGATCGATTGTTTATAATTTTTGGTTAATATCATATTTTTGAGGAAATATAATTCGTGGTATGTTAGGATAAAAAATGTATACTACATTTAACGTGACTGTTGGAAAATATTTTAACCGGTGGGTTTTGTTTATTTTATTTTGCAGCCTCGGGAGGGGGAGGTTCGATGTTGGTCCCTCCCGTGGCCCAAAGTGGGACTGGGGATCGTCCCGTGGGCGACACGGGTGCCCGGGCCCAACAAACGTCCGGCCCTGCCGCGGCAGCAACCCTATGGCCCTTAGCACCTGCGCAGTCCAATCAGGTACCGAATCAGCAGTCTCAGGGCATTCCACCCCTGGCCGCCACCCCTGCACCGACTCACAATCAAGGTATAATATATTTTTATGTTAATTAAGGAACGATTATTCTTACTGTCTTTATTCGGATAATTAAACGTCCTATAAAGTAGCGTCCGATGTCAAGTACTAAAGTTAAAATATTCGAAGTGTTTTTAATTTTCGTTGTCGCTAACCACCTTATTATCGTAAAGTTTGAATAAAAAGAAAAAGATTGTATTACGTATTACATTGGAGTATATAATTTTAATAGTTTTTAAAAATATCTGAGGTCTGTCGCTATTTGTATTCACAACTTTCACTATTCGAATGAGTATTACGTTAATTTCTCACGTTCTTATGGAAATTAAACTCCTGTATTTTCAATAGCTTTAGAATGTACATCATATGGCTCACAATTTAAAAAGGAAAAGAAAGTGAAAAATCACAAGAAAAATTATGTAAGAAAAATAATAAGGAATTTGCGAAATTTGTTTACCGAGGTGTACTAATAGATTATCGTACCAAGACGTAAATGTGCGTACATATATTTGTTTGTGTTTGTTAGCAGAAAATTCTTATCTATAAGATGGTTGTTTCTCATAGTAAATCTTATTAGTTTCCAAGTGACAGTTAAATCTAGCTTTCATTATCTTATTGTCCAGTGTGATATAAATATCAGTGTTTTAACAAATGGCTCGATGTATTAATTGACAAACAGGAATTGATAAATGACTGTTTATCATCTAAAAAGTATTACATTTCTTATTACGTTTATCTTCAAGTATATATTTACAAACGTTCATCTTATCGCCGAGAGAAATACTTTTAACACTCGCTCGTCGTATCTAAAATATTAGATATTTTCGAAAATTACACGTTAATGTGTGATAAAAATTAAAAATCACAATCTCAAGTTTTCTTTCGAACATTCTGGATTATAATGCGAATCGCACATTTGCTAAATCGATTGACTCCAGAAAATAGGAAACAGAAATTTATTTTAAATTTAGAAAATTAAGTATCAATACCTTGGTGTTGAAATTTGGAAAAATTCCAAATGTGGATTTAATCACTTTGCCCTGCGAAATGCTTGTATTAAACAATAATATCGTTGTTTATGTAACGTTACAAAGTGATGGAAAATACTGGTGATTGTTCTCGTGAATGATTAAAATTTCTGAATTGCAAAAATTGCTGTTATTTTGCAAAATATGTGCTCGCCAAATATGGAAAGTCTGAAATATTAATATAATAAATTGGAAGCGTCGGCTTTGCAGGGAAATCACGAAAAGCTTATTACACAAAGTACAAATCATAATCCCAAAGGCGATATTAATACAAACTGTCGAGTTTGACGTATTGCAAACTTTTTAATCCATAAAACTTATTACACTTTCATATTTGCGCGCGATACGCTCATGCATTTATTATTACATAATTCATATTCTCATGAACGGAAAATAAAAAACGATTTCCCTAGAATAACATTTACCAATTGTATTTAAATAATTTCCGTTTAAAATATCGCGATATTCGAGTTGCCAAATCCGAAAATTTGTAGCGAACCATTAATTCAAAATTAATGGATGTTTTACAGCGATTTTCTTTTGAAATTGCTTCGATTGCAAACACTTTGATCTTCCATCGTTTGCATCGTTCAATGAAACGTTCTAAAACAAAAATAAATATTGAAACAAAGTACAAAATGATGGTAGTATTTTTTGTATGATATTCTTCTTGATTTATTCTTTATTCCCTTTGGTGAATGTAAATTGAATTTCTTGTTTCTTGAATATATTAATTTCGTTTCCGAATTTTTTAAATATTTACACAATATTTTGTTTTTATTCAATAATTGTATTTATATCGGACTGTCTAAAGATCTCAGAGAAAGAATATAAGTCTATTTTTATTTAAGAAAATGTTCTTTTTCCTATATGTTTCTGGAAGCGAAGGATTTTATCACATAGTCAAAAGTCAATGATAATCAATAGTTTCTCAATTCATAGAAGTGGATGTTAGATGCACTTAATTCTGAAACTAAATAGAGAAGCAATATTTATATGTAAATTGTAAAAAATAGATGTAAATTATTTTTTTCCTCTAAAATTTAGTATACTTATTTAGTATACTCGAAAGTGGGAAATCGAACATAGTTTCTGTGAATTAAAATTACGTTTATCGAGTACCTAAAATAGTAATATTCACATCAAAAATTCCATTACGCTTTCCTCGTTTATTTTTCATAAATAAATTATTTCTATATATTTTATATATTATCTACCACATGATATTTCGTATTATTTCAATATTGAACCTGCGGTTCTAACTGCATTGCAGTGGTTCGCATCCGCCGAAATAGCTCAGCTGGGAGAGCGTTAGACTGAAGATCTAAATGTCCCCGGTTCAATCCCGGGTTTCGGCAAAGCGTTTTTTTTTTCTTGTTTCGTTTCTACGATGTACTATTAGTAAATTTCAACTTATAAGAGAGGTTTTCCCACGAGCCGAAATAGCTCAGCTGGGAGAGCGTTAGACTGAAGATCTAAATGTCCCCGGTTCAATCCCGGGTTTCGGCAAAGCGTTTTTTTTTTCTTGTTTCGTTTCTACGATGTACTATTAGTAAATTTCAACTTATAAGAGAGGTTTTCCCACGAGCCGAAATAGCTCAGCTGGGAGAGCGTTAGACTGAAGATCTAAATGTCCCCGGTTCAATCCCGGGTTTCGGCAAAAGTTGGTTTTTTTTCCTTATTTCTTTTATATCATATATTGCTCAGCAACTTTTACCTATAAGATACACGGTTTTCCAAGAGCCGAAATAGCTCAGTTGGGAGAGCGTTAGACTGAAGATCTAAATGTCCCCGGTTCAATCCCGGGTTTCGGCAAAAGTGTATTTTTTATTTTTTTATTTATTTTTTTCTTTTATATAGAAAGTAATGTCAATATTTAAATTTATTCATTGTTTTTTTTACTTCTATTAAAATTATATATAACTTATAATTAGAGACAATGGAACGCTAAGAATTAAAGGGAAAGGACTGTCGACTTTTTTTTAACTTTAATTTATTTCATTTACTAACATTTACTATTATTAAATTTGGTTTTGCATTTTAAATATTTAAGAGAACGTAATTTATTTTTACACCATTACAAGTAATACACTGTAGTAGATGAATACATTATAAAGAGACATTATACAGTACTGAATATTATTTGTGGTTTTTATATTTTTATATATTTGAAATTATTTTGATATTCAAAACATTAATAATTTACCTTTCAATCAAGGATTATACACATATCACATCCAGCAAGGCCACGCTTTCACACAAGCCGAAATAGCTCAGTTGGGAGAGCGTTAGACTGAAGATCTAAATGTCCCCGGTTCGATCCCGGGTTTCGGCAATGTATTTTTTCTACAATTTTTTATTTTTTATATTTCTTCCGAATAATCTCTATAAATGTTCAGGTCAAATAATCTTATTTTTCATCATTTCTTTTTATTATTAAATTACAACTTCGAACAATATTCATTTTAATTCAGGATTCTTATATGTACCTTCTTATCTGTTGATATAATTCTGAATGAAAATAAATAAGTCAATTAACATTAATTAGGCTAGGTTTATTTATTTAATTAAAACTTGATAATACGTTGAATAGTTGGAAATTCTAGAAAAATTAAATCCTTCCTACTATCGTTTTCTCTTAATATAAATACGAATTTTAAAGTACAATCTCAACGAACCATAGTCATTACATCTCGACCCTACTTAACACACTGATCCGTCAACAAATTTTCTTTACTCGATAAGGTGTACAAATTCTCGTTGCACGAGGCTTAAGTGACAATTACCAGGCAGAAACTCGATATCTCCGTGTCGCGAGTGCAACGTCTATTATCGGTGACGTAGTTAAACCGTTAAAAGTAATTCTCTTCGGCTCATCCAATCGAGATGCACGGATGTCGTGCAACGACCACGATCCACGGTGTAAAAAGTAAATTCACCGTCTGAATGGTGTTACAGGTGTGAGTCGTTACGGGCTGTACTCGTTATTCCCTGGGGGCGGCGGGGGCAGTTACGTCGCGGCCACTCCCGCCACCCCTGGACCACCCACGCCTGCACGAGCTTATCACGCGACAACACACAAGGGTAAGTTTACAACGATTTCTACTTTACTTTACCCCCTTTTCTCTTTTTCTCTCTTTTTCTCCTTTTTTTTCCTCTCCTTTTTATTCTCTCACTTCCACCCTCTTTTGTCGCGAGTCAAGTCTTCCCGTCTATGGTTTTAACTCTCGATTGATCTCCTTACAACTTGCTTGCCGAGCTTTATTTTTAGCCCGTAGTAACCCTTTCGATACGTGACAGCCGATATATCGGCTGGATCGAAAACGATGAAAATAGCGCGGGTGGGTTATTTCAGCGAGGTAATGTTTAAGCAGCTTTGTTTAAATTTAGCAGATGGGAAAAGTTGCGGGAATGGGAGGAGGTTTTTGTTGACTTCATGGTGGCGAGTTAGCTGTGTTGCGTTTGCGCATTATCATAATGCGTTTGATGCGCTAAGAGGAAGTAATATAATTTGAGATTCTGATGCGTAAACAAGAGGAAGATGTGCAGATTTCTTTTTGCATTATTTTTGTAATTATCAACGCGAGGATTGGAAACACTTTGTGCGCAGCTTTCAGTGGTTTCATTATTCAAAAGTATCTCTTTGTTCCATTTTTAATGTTAATCTGTAATTTTCTTCATTTTTTTAAATTGTAATTTTTTTAATTACACCTTCGTGGGTAATATTTAATTCCTAGACACGTAATTGCACATGTAATATAATATGGGAGGGTTGCAACAAAATCTAGATGGTATGCAAGATATATAAAAGATATAACGAAATTTATTCCCCTTTTTATTCTTTAGACATAATACAAGGTAAAAAAATAAAAATAGAACTGTGTGAGAGAGAACTATTTATTTAGGAGTTTACAACTTTTATATTTTTCGACAGTTGAACTGCACCAATCTTTCTTTCATTTCTTTTAATTCTTCATTTAATTCCAACATTTTCTCGTGTATATTTTTCAAATAAATATTACATGATTTTAATATCGATATGGACTTAATTAATAATGTATTATATTGTAATAACATTGATACTTTGGTACTGTTGTTTCATAAAAATATAATATCATGTTATAATACTGATTATAACCTTAATCAATTTTCTAAAGCTATAAATATATGATTAATTACGCAATTAATGCATTACATTGTAATAGTACCTATAGGTTAGCACTGTTGTTTCATAAAAATATAATATTAGTTATAATATTAAATATAATTATACTTGTATCAAAATACCTCTTTTTGATTTATTTAAGGAAACAACCGATATATTAGAAATGAAACAAAAGTAATACCGACAGTAGGTACAGAATAATAAGTTCAAGAAATTATCGATATAGCATTTGGTTATTTCGCAGTTCGCGTCATAACGAATCCAGTGTGTCGTAGGCTTCGTAACCTTACTTGAATTTCTATATTCCACGTGTTATTCTTCCTATATACTTTTCCCTTAATTTGTCTTTTTCCAAGAATTGCTTCCCTCGCCACGATTCGTAGAATTCTTGTAATGTTATCGTTTCGAACGATTGTGTATATACTTGCCTGGCTACCTGCGAATAATCGTAGTCGCGTAACCGTCGTGAAAATTCGGATATTTACGGATTCCATCGGCTTAGATCGTCGACACTTTGTTCATTGTTCGTGATCAGTCGGATTCGCGCCTCTACTGTGATTAGATGTATCCTGTTCGCGTTCGTGTGTTGTTCCATGGTGTTTGTGTGTTCTTGGTGGACTGTGTTTCCGGTTACTGCGTTTCTCGAACGTATTTACTTCGTCAACCTGTCTACGTATAACATCCTATAAGTTTACTTTAATTTACCCTTTGTTTAAGTCGTAATTCTACACCTGTTTCGTTAATTACGTTTTCAAATTGCAGTGCAGAGAAAGCATAGCTACATTTATAGCTAGATTACTACGATGTAGTAATTTGGTGCCGCAGTAATTTATATACGAAGTAAATGGGTGTGGGTATGTTATACATTTGCTACAGTTCTATATATTTGTATATAGGTAAAATTCTCATAGAAGTCATAAGGCATTTTTATTTCTGCTTTAAACACGTATTTCGTGACGAAACATATCGACTCGTGCTATTTTGAATAGAAACCTCGATTTCGAGGTTGCGACGACATTCGTCGTAAACATTCGTTGTATACGAGGCGGACCGGCGAAATCGGTCCACGTTCCTACTGTTCCTACTGTTCCTACTGTCAACCTCTACATAAAGAAAACATAAATATCGTCACTGTTGAATTGAAAATATTTACAATCGTCGGTTTCCTCGGACTCGTTCGGTGGATCTCGTTCAAACGTATCATTCGTCATTCGCGTTCGTCGTTCGTAAAACCGAAATTACGCAACATGCGCGAAGTTCGTGCCCGTTCCGCTAGTTTACGTGAAACGCCGCTCCCGCCATATTTGCGCGTGGTTCAGATTGAATGCGCGAACGTTTCTCTCCGATAGGCGTGTACGTTCCCTTCGTCTGATTCTGCTTCGGACAGCTTTTCAAACTATAAGAATTTCTATTTGTCTCTATCCCGTACATCACTCCACGTGAAAGTGTAGTCTCTCGTGTTGCATATTTTCGTCGAATTGGTTGCGTCGTGATTTTCGTATCGCGTAATCGTTCAGTGCCGATTCGCAACGTGCCATTTGCTCGTGTTCCGACATGTGTTCCTTTGTTTTGCGTCGCACATGTTACATCGAAGACTTTGCATCGAATTGAGAAATTCTTGGTGATCGCGCTGCGTAAAATGTTCAAGAGGTGTTTGAGAACAATGGAAATGAATAAGCGATGTAATTGGAATGATAAAAGGAAACGAAAGGAAAGGAATTTTGAATAACCATAAATATGTAAGTCGAATTTTTTTTTATTGATTATTTTATTGATTATTGATTATTATTATTATATAGAATATCGTAAAGAATGATTATTTTAAGAATTTTCATAAATTTAGGCGATACTCATATAAGTAAAAATTACGAGGATATCTAGAATGTGTAACTATATACCATTTACGATATTTGATATATAGTACATTCGCCACGCAGTCTGAAGTCATCTGGCGTTTTATATACGTTGTTATATTCATACCTATGCCGTATTCACTGGCCAGTTTCAATTGTTGGAATTTGACATCGAGTAAGGTAAATTGTTAATAATTGTTTAAAATATTAATCGTACATACATTAAAAGATTGAATATTGTCGAAATATTTATTATATTTTATTATATGAAATTATTATATATAAATTATGTGGCTCGATGCATTTTATTAACCAGTTGAATATTGTATAGGTTAAATAAGTAATTAAATTACGAGAAACAATTAGAATATCCTAAGCAACAACGAAAGGGTATATAATAATAATCAAAATTGTTCTTTGAATCGCATAAAGATATTTAAGATATTTTTCCAAATATCTTTTGTCGCTACATGGATATTTCTATTTTTCTTTTTTGAAAATATTCCCTTGTAACGTACTGCATGTATTTGCAAATTTTTATGTTCCGATTTCAAAAGCTGGTAAGTATTCTCCTACCAGGGTGTATACACTGTTGACTTATTAATTTTATATGAACGGTAATTTTTAAAATACTGCGTCAAAGAGAATTTGAGTTTGAGGACAAAAGAAGTTAGCAGCCTTTGTCCCCTGTAATTTCTAGCAAAAATTTATTCTGTTCGCCGGTCGTGCTACGAAAACAAAGGACCCCATATTCGTTGAATAGTTTCTTTTAAAATTCCGCTTTTATTAGCTGGCATAATTTACCGAAATATAGCCATATTATTATACTGCGGTTACAACTACTTTTTCAAATTGACTTTATTATAAAATAATATAACTGTACTGTAATTATACTGTTAACTCTATCACCGAACTAGTCGCCTAAGTGTAATAACTAAGCTACATTATCAAACAAGTAACTTCGGGATAATCACTAAATTATATAATCCGATACCTGAGTAATTAAACTATACTAACAAAGCGTATCGTCCAAGAGTTAAATCAATAGGGCACATGGTAAAATACCATTTGTATCTTGTGTGAAATTTTCCCAAAATATTATATGGTAGCTTCGAATTTTATCTTTTTTTCGTTAAATATGTTATATAGGGTGTTTCATTTGTAGGGGCATTTCGAAAATTTTATGATCTTTGTTTCTTTATGTAGATGTGTATATGTTTCTTTAGGTAGACGTGTAGTATATTCCAAAATTAGGTACAGTTGATAGAATTTTGATCATCCATGCAAATAAACAATTTTTGTATAAACTCAATTTCTGTAGTATGTTACATAAGTACTGTTATTTATATTTTTCTCTTTTAAGTTTGGCAATTTTCAATTTGTGTTAGAATTCTTACTAACTTTTTTTAAGATCCTTCTTAATGTAATACTATAATCATGTGTAGTATTCTCCATTCTGATTGGATAGTATTCTCCATTTTTGATTATACATATTTCCATTTTGAAAACAGTTTTAAGTTGTATACTAAAGAATTCCAGATATATAAACCACTACAATTTTAATTCTAAATATACAATATTCATTTAACATATGTACATATACTTGTTCCTCTTTAAAAATCATTTGAATTCTTATTTCTAAAAACTCCATATAAATAAATCATTGCCATTCTAATTTCTTCAAACTCTTCTCATTACTCAATTGTGCAGTGTCCATTCCACATATACACATATATCTATTCCTTTTCATAAATAATTTTAAATTTTATTGCCAAAAGCTCCATATAAATAAAGCATTGCAATTCCTATTCTTTTAAACCTCTCTCATTACTCAATTGTACAGTATTCATTTCACATATGTACATATACTTGTTCCTCTTTAAAAATCATTTGATTTTATTCCTAAAAACTCCATATAAATAAAGCATTGCCATTTCAATCTCTTCAAACTCTTCGCATTACTCAGTTGTACAGTATCCATTCCTCATGTGTACATACATCTATATACAAATAATTCTAATTTTTATTCCCAGAAATTCCATATAAATAAACCACAGTAACTTTAA